ATATATATAATTTCACTATACAATACGGTTTTATCGCCTAGATAATGTAACTGTCTTAATTCGATCGACTACAGAAGATACGTGATCTTCAGACCAATTGCTTCTCGACGTCCCCCAAAATACTACTAATAAGAGTAGGCTCTGGACTGAAAATCACACATTCGGGAACAATAAATGAGGTTTCTGGGGGTGGGCTGGATGTGTCTAACTGTTATCCTGATGGACTGTGATACCACATCTCAATTGTCATTCGTGTTAACAGAAAGGACATGAACATAATGAATCCTCACGCAAATGCCTATTTGTTATGCAGTCTAGATATGTAGAGTTTCCCACTAATAAACCTAGGTTCACCGAGGGACAAAATTATGTTTGTTTCTCTTAAAGTCATGACCAAAGCACATCAGTTGGTTCGACCGAGCGCTCTGAAGTTTCCACCACCATATGTGGTGCTAATCATAATTGTTGTTGTGTCATTGTACCATTTATTAAGGTTGTTTCAAACCAAGGTAGCTTGTTCGTTCTTCTGTTTCACAAATGTAGAGAAGAGTATAAAAAATCTGCAGTCCGTTTACAAAAAAACAATGTATACGTAACCTGTTTCAACTTGGCTACATTTGTCTATGATTTAGTTCTACAAATAGCAACCCTCTTCCTGTCACCGTGCCTTCCTCCTAGGGCGTACCTGGAGACAGTGGCTGTCCTTGAACAACTAAGCCTACCGGAGTTGAACGCCAGTAAATCACGTCTTCCTGTAAGCTGGTATTGGTCCTCATTCGAACGCGTATCATGAGTCGCGTGAGATTAAGCAGTCGAGTCGAAGTGTTGAGTCGCACTGTTCGTTTACTTGCATTCACACCGGATGAGCATAGTCAGTATCACGTTGTTTATCTCAAGGCACTACCAATGCTTTCGCCTGGATGCGAGCGCAACGACTATAGTGATGTTTGAGATGTAAAGCGTTCAGCCTCGGGCGGATTTAGACTGCTGTTCGCACGTCAACGACAAGTTTCGTGTCCGAACTCTGGAGTTTTTTTTATCGGATGACTGAATGTGAGTAATCCATACTCAAAATCTTAAGATTCTTACTTGCGTCTAATGTGGTGGTTTGCCTCCGGAGTTTCCTTTCACCTCAAGTTAGGCCAGGTCATCATCAACACTTGCCCAGTACACGCTCAATCAGTAAAAGCGACCAAGTGTTCGAATCACAAAGGTCCATTTTCTCTGTGGTGCATCCTAAAGCATTTCAGCTCCAAAATCTGCAAGCGACATTCAACTGTAATTTATTCTGGGTTCCTCTAGAGTCTACAGT